CTATGGCTCCCCTCGTGAACAGTGCCGCATGCCCCACATCTACTGCTGATCCTCTTCCCTCAGCCATACTGTGTACCAGTCCCTTCCTTAAATCTTCTGAAGGGCGGTGGAAACAGCAATTGGAATGGAGATGATCATGGTTGTATACAAAAAGTTTTGAACATAAACGTTCACCACAGTCTCCATTTTTTTTTAATGTGGATGTGTGTATTGCCTGCATGTAGGTAAGTGCACCCGTGTTGTGCAATGTCCACAGAGGACAGAAGAGACTGTCGGATCCCCTGGAACTGGAGTTACTGACAGTTGTTAACTGCCATGTGGGTGCTGGATGGGATTTGAACCCAGGTCTTCTGGAAGAGTGATCAGTGTTCTTAACCACTGAGCCATCTCTCCAGCCCCGATCTTTTTTTTTTTAGACAAGGTCTCATTATTGTAGAGATCTGCCTGCCTCCCCAGTGCTGAGTGCTAGGGATTAAAGACATGTGCCACCACATCTGGCTCACAAATCTGACTTTAAGGCAGACAAGTTCCAGTAACCTTAGAAGTATGAATTATTAAGCATGAACAACTTGTGTCACTATGCTAACTGTAGGGCCAGAAGTGGCCTCTTAGGTGGTCCTGGTTTGAAACTTCTAGATAAAGAAAGAGGATTTGGTGTAGTTGTTTTTCTGTTCTTTGATTCAGTTTGGGGTTTCTCAGATTTTCACTTTGGTTTGCTTTGTGGATTTTTTGAGACAGGGTGTCCCTGTAGCTCCAGCAGACCTAGAATTCACTATATAGACCAGGCTGGCCTCAGTTTCACAGAGATCCACCCACCTCGGCCTCCTGAAGTGAGTGCACCACACCCGGCTTGTTTTGGGGTGGTGGGGAGGGGAGCAGTACTGAAAATACTGCATAGCCCTGTATTGGGGTCCTCCTGTTAAAACTACCAGCTTAGCTGTGACCCTCAGCAAGTCACTGTTTGAGTTACTTTTTTTTCATACACAAATGAAGATTTGGATAGATACCCAATCTGATGGCCTTTTTTCAGTAGGAAGACAACTTTTTTTCCTTCAATGTCAGATAGTAAACTGTGATCTACAATAAACAGTCTTTTGTGTGCCACCTTTAATCCCAGCACTCTTGGGAAGCAGAGCCAGGTGGATCTCTGTGAGTTCAAGGCAAGCCTGGTCTACATAGTGAGTTCCAGCCAGATGGGGCTACAGGGAAACCCTGTCTCAAAAAGACCAAAACATGAAATAAAATAGTCTTTTGTATTTCCCCTGTTGAACTGGCTTGAGCAAAATCTATATATTGCTTTGGGCATTGTGAAGGACAAACAGAACCAAGCCACATGCTGACGCGAAGGACACTGCCTAACAGAACTGTCTGCAGTTACTGCCTGCTTCTCCCCTTTGCCATTGGAATGGGAATAATAATAAAATGGGGACAAGCTGGGAAGGGTGGGAAACTATAGGGTCAAAAATCAAGGCCAGAGAAACCAAAAAGACCATTGATGTAGCTCTTGGGTTTCTGGCCCAGAGCTGAAATTGGTTGATTCTGGTATTCAAAGGGTGAGAAAATTAGATGCTTCAGGTGAAGGTAAAGATCTTCTCAGGACTTAGTTCTACAAGAAATACACAACATGAGGGGTTTCTTTGTTGTTGTTGTTGTTTTTGGTTTTTTTTTGTCTTTTTGAGTCGGGGTCTCCCTGTAGCCCCAGCTGGCCTGGAACTCGCTATGTAGACCAGGCTGGCCTTGAATTCACAGAGATCTGCCTGCCTCTGCCTCCCAAGTGTATGAGTGTATTGCCTGCATGTAGGTAAGTGCACCTGTGTTGTGCAATGCTGGAGGAGGACTAGGTTATGGATAGTTGTTAGCTGTCATGTGGATGCTGGGATTTGAACCCAGGTCATCTGTAAGAACAACCAGTGTTCTTAACAGCTGAGCCATCTCTCCAGCCCCGATAATTTAAAAAAAAAAATGTGGAACACGTCATGAGTTTGCATATCATCGTTGTGCAGGGGCCATGCTAATTTTCTCTGTATTGTTCCAATTTTAGTGTATGTGCTGCCGAACCGAGCATGATAACCAAATTTTAATCCATATAATTTATCACCCAGAGATTAACATCAGCTCTCTTTGTGAGACCAGGCTGGCCTTGAACTCACAGAGATCCACCTGCCTCTGCCCCCCAAATGCTGGGACTACAGGCGTGCGCCACCATGCCCGGCTAAAATAAATTTTTAAGATCATACTAAACTTGGATTCTAATCAACTCTTGCCCTATTCTGTTTTCTCTGTGGCATTAGCCAAAAAAGAAGAACATGTCTGCCTACCAGGTATTCTGCAAAGAGTATCGTGTAACCATTGTGGCTGACCATCCAGGTATAGGTAAGAACCTTTTTCATTTCTGGTTTTTGTTTGTTTTTTTCCTTTTCACTTATATCTTGGAAGCAGTGCATTTAATTAATTCAATCATGAGGCACCTTCTCCCTATAGCATTAGAATACAAATTGAAAGCTAGGTGTGGTGGCACATGCCTGTATTCCCAGCACTTGGGAGGCTGAGACAGAGGGCTCCATGCCAGTTTGAGGACAGCCTGAGCTACAGAGTAAGACCCTGTCTCAAACAAACAAAAGAACAGAAATTATATTTCCTTGTTTCTAGAAATCTTTTAGGTTTTGCCTTAGTTTGCCCCACCTGTAAAAGAGTTCAGGTATATTTCTGTGCATATGTGTACATGCATATGCACTTGCATAGTGTGTGTGAGTTTATGTGTGCAGATTTGCACGTGCGTACAAAGGCCAGTGTCAGGTGTCTTCTTCAGTTTTCCACTTGTTTTTTGTTGTTGTTTTGTGTTTTCATGTGGGGTTTTGGTCTGAGACAGGGTCTCCCTGTAGCCCCAGCTGGCCTGGCACTCTATGTAGACCAGGCTGGCCTCGAACTCACAGAGATTTGCCTGCCTCTGCCTCCCAAGTGCTGAGATTAAGGGTGTGTGCCATCTTTTTATTTTATTTTATTTTATTTTATTGCCTGCATGTATGTAAGCACACTTGCCCGTGGAGGTCAGAAGAGGGTGTCAGATTATTAGCCATCATGCGGGTGTTGGAAACAGAACCTGAGTCTGCAGGAGCCACCAGTGCTCTTAACCGCTGAGGCAGCATCTCTCCTGCAGCTCATTGATCCAGCTAGGCTGCTGACCAGTGAGCTCCTGGATTCCTCGTTACCCCAAATTTTGAAATTATAGATATGAAATACTTCACCTAGCTTTTTCATGAGTTTTGGGAATCTGAACTCAGGTCCACATGCTGTGTAGCAAGTACTTTACCCTCAGCCATCTCCCCAACCCTGCCCCAGTATGTATTTTTTCAACCAATAAAAAAGCAAAGTATAGATTAAACAGGAGCCAGGCCCATGCTGTAATCCCTAGATTAGGGAGGCTCACCTAAAAGGAGCAAATTTTCAGGTTGACCTGAGCTACATAGCAAGATCTTGTCTAAAGAAAAACACCACATAGGTGCATATAAATATGTGGTTGATTTCCAAGATTCTATGGTTTCCTTTTTTTTTTTTTTTTTTTTTCTAATATTTTGTGTGTATGCGTGTATTTCCTACATGTAGGTAAGTGCACCCATGTCCTGCAATGCCCAAGGAGGACAGAAGAGGCTATCAGAACCCCTGGAACTGGAGTTACAGTTAGTTGTTAGCTGCCATGTGGGTGCTGGGATTTGAATCCTGGTCTTCTGCAAGAACAACCAGTGTTCTTAACCGCTGAGCCATCTCTTCAGCCCCGGTTTCCTTTTCTTAACTTCTTTGGGTGGAGCATCATAAGGAGGTGATATTGGTAGTGTTGCTGAGACACAGGACACAGACCCTGCATAGGTCACCTCACCTTTCTGTATCTCAGTGAACCTGATATATAAAAGGGCTACCTACTATACCAAGTTGCTATGAAAGTCACATGGTTCTACTTTACAAAGCATAAATTATACATACATGGAAGGATAATATATGCACTGGAGGATGGTTTCTGGGCTGCTACAGGAAAGTTTTGGTAAAAACCTAGCATCTTGGAGGCTGGAGAAGACGGCTCAGTGGTTAAGAGCACTGGCTGATCTTGCAGAAGACCTGGGTTTGAATCCCAGCACCCACATGGTGACTAACAACAGTATGTAACTTCAATTCCAGGAAATCCGAAGCCCTCTTCTGTCCTCTGCAGGCATAACATTCATACACATAAAAATTTCTTAAAACTGTGCATGATGGCACACGCCTTTAATCCCAGCACTCGGGAGGCAGAGGCAGGTGGATCTCTGAGTTCAAGGCCACCCTGTTCTACATAGTTAGTTCCAGGACAGCTAGGGCTACAGGGAGACCCTGTCTCAAAAAGACCAAAAAAAAAATTTTTTTTTCTTAAAACCTACCATCTTTTACTAAATTCTGTGTAACACATTGTCTAACCTAACATGGTAGGCTTTGTGTTATGACGTCAAGTGAAACAGTAACAGAAAGATACCTGAGGAATGAATCCCTAGAGACTGGCTGGGGAAGGAAGGACTTGAGCCTGCCTTCTGACCACTAAAAATTAGAGTTGGGTTTGGTTCTGAGTGTTTACAATATTGAAATTTGTTCTTCAAACCCTTTTTCCAGTCTTTGTTACCATTAGTCTTCTGTTTTCTTAAAGTTCTTTTCTAATTTTTTTTTTTAATTCTTTTATGTCAGATTTTGGGGAACTTAGTAAAAAACTGGCTGAAGTATGGAAGCAGTTGCCAGAGAAAGACAAACTGGTAAGTTCCCTTTCTGTCCTTTTCATTGCTTTCTTGCTTTCACCAGACAGTGCTGAAAAATGAGAAGAGTTACAAAGCCTGGTTTAGCCTGGAGACTCCGGGGCCGGTGTCAGGCTGTCTTGTTATACAGGAGGCTGTCTTTTTCTACTGCTGTCTCATTTTTTACCCCCAGACCATACTTAAGCCAAACAAAACAAAAAACCAAGACCTCAGTTCGTCAGTGGTTGAAGTTTTTCCCCCTTTGGTCTTTTTGAGGCAAAAAGACCCCAACTGGCCTGGAACTCACTACGCAGACCAGGCTGGCCTTGAACTCACAGAGATCCACCTGCCTCTGCTTCCTGAGTGCTGGGATTAAAGGCCTACGCCACCATGCCCAGATTTTAAAAGAGAATCTTGGCTGGCCCTGATGGCGTACGCCTTTAACCCCAGCACTCACACTCAAGAGGCACAGACAGATGGATCTCTGAGATCCAAGCCAGCCAGGGCTACAGGAAGAGCCTGTCTCCAAAAAAAGGAGAGATAGAGATCATGACTATGAGGGAATGAATCTACAGTTACAACCCTGTACTGCAAGCACCAGTTGGCCATGGTCCTAGCTAGGACTGAAGACTGTCATCCTCCAGATAAGGAAAACATGGGGTACCCTAAGCCAGGCTCCAAGTCTCCATCCTTATCTACCATCAACAGTGTATGCTCCTGCCAAGAAGCTCAGCAGCTAGGCATGGCGGCTCACGCCCATTATCCCAAGACTTAGAAGGCTGAAGCATAAGTGGTTGTGTGTGCAAGGCCAGCTTGGGCTCACAAGATTCTGTCTCAAAAAACAGAAAAGTAGTAGGAGAGCTAAGACTGATGAATAGTCCTGTCTGAATCCTGTGCTGCAGCTCTCCATTAGAAAGTATGGGAACAGGAGCTGCTTGAAGGAATGGTTTTGCTAATGCTCTTCTCGATGAAATGCCCTCTTTAAAACCTACATTTCGGGCTGGAGACATGATTCACCAGTTAAGAACACTGATTGTTCTTGCAGAAGCAGATCCCAGCACCCACATGGCAGCTAACAACTGTAACTCCAGTTCCAGGGGATCCGATGGCCTCTTTTGTCCTCCGCAGGCATTGCATGACACGGGTGCACTTACCTACATGCAGGCAATACACGCATACACATAAAATAAAAATAATAAATATAAAAAATGAAACCTACGTTTCCCTTAGTTGCTTACTGTCTTCCATTACCAACCAGATTAGAGGACGTCTTTAAACCACATGGACATTATACTGAACCAGATGTTTGCTCTGAGATTTACATTTTAACCTTGGGGCATGAAACTTTACCCTCAGCACTGAAAAATGATAGTAGTACCCACTTAAGATACCAGTTCATCAGTCTTGGCACCAGTTCAGTGACTTCAGCTCAGAATTACAGTCCTCTCTACCACTCCACAGCTCCTTTTCTGTTCTTCATGTTGTCTGCCCATGACTGCCTTCCCTGTTGCCTTATCTTTTTAAGTTTCTTTGTGTACCAATCTATTACAGATTTGGAAGCAGAAAGCTCAGTATTTGCAGCACAAGCAGAACAAAGCTGAAGCTACAACGGTGAAAAGAAAAGCATCCAGCTCAGAAGGTTCCATGAAAGTCAGAGGTAGCAACATGTCTCCCTCCTGCTTTGAACACTTTTTTCTCAAGCCCTGTGGACTCTGCTTCCTTACTGGGAAGTTCGGAGAGCAAACAGCTTCCATGAAAAGCAGACCTTGATGCCTAAGTTTTATTACTGAGTATTACAGACTGCAAAGTTCAGTTTTAGAAAATGTAAGTAAGAGGTCAGCAGACTTTTCTGCAAAGATCCAGGAAGTAATCCAGGCTTGGGGCCTTGTGTCTACATATAATCCAAGTACACAGGAGGATTACAGATTCAAAGCTAGCCTGACTGAAATACATAACAAGCTCTGGGCCAGTCTGGGATATCCATAGAGACCATGTCTTTTAAAAAATAAATATTACAGGTCTTTATGCTGTATGCATTCGCAGTCACATTTTATATATATATATTTGTTTTTCCTATAATCCTTTAAAAATGCAAAACTATTCTTATTTCACAGGTCACACAAAAGCTAGATTTAGCCTATAGGGCATAAGTTTTGCTAATGCCTTGTACAGTTCATCAAAAGGGAAAACTGAGTAATGTTTGTGATATTCAAGCCATAGGCACATTTTCACCCCCCTGTTCCCAGCTTCTTCTGCAGGAGTACTGTCACCCCAGAAGAAGTCCCCACCCACCACAGTGCTGTTGCCGGCCTCTCCAGCCAAATCCCCGGAGACAGAGCCCATCGATGTTGCTGCTCATCTTCAGCTGTTGGGAGAGTCCCTCAGCCTCATTGGACACCGCCTGCAGGAGACAGAGGTGAGTATAGCACTCTTTAGTGTGGCTCCTATTTCTTTTTAGATCCATCCATCCATCCATTTATTGTGTACCTATTCTTACTAAATTGTGCCATGAAAAGACATGTAGAAATTTGGGGTCTACCTATTGGTTCTCTTAATACCATCCTGTTCTACAGGGAGACCTTGCCTCAAGAAATAAAACAAGCCAGGCGTGTGCCAGCACACCTTTAATCCCAGCATTCTCAGGAAGCAGAGGCAGGCAAATCTCTGTGAGTTCAAGGCCAGCCTGGTCTACATAGCGAGTTCCAGGCCAACTGGGGCTAAAGGGAGACCCTGTCTCAAAAGAGACGAATGAATGAATGAATGAATGAACCCCAAAACAACAAGAAAAAGCAAAATGAAAAATGAACATAAGTAAATAGAAGTGCAGTAGAAAAGGTGAATGGTGTAGCGATTGTGATCATTGCACTACTGACAGCTTGTGTTTTTAGTGCAGTTCCTACACAGCTGTGACTAGACACAGTACACTGAAAGGATTGCTAGTTCTCATCCTTCTTGAAAATAGGTAGCTGGGGGGCTGGAGAGATGGCTCTGCAGTGAAGAGCACTAACTGCTCTTGCAGAGGACCTAGGTCAGCTCCCAGCACCCACATGGTAATTGACAACCATCCAGTTCCAGGGAATCTAAGGATCTCTTCTGGCCTCCACAGGCACTGCATACAAGTGGTGCACATACATGTAGGCGAAATAGCCATACATACTAATTTTTTTTGTCTTTTTTTGAGACAGGGTCTCCCTGTAGCCCCAGCTATCCTGGAACTCACTATGTAAACCAGACTGGCCTCCAACTCACAAAGATCCACCTGCCTCTGCCTCCAAAGTGCTGGGATTAAAGGCGAGCGCCACCACGGCCAGCCCTAAATAAATCTTTTAAAAACAGATTAGTAAGGTAGTTAGCAGGGCATGGTGGCACACATCTGTAATTCCAGCATTCATGAGACAGGGGCAGGAGAGGCTCATCAGAAGTTCGAGGAGGCCAGCCACGCTGCATAGTGAGACCCCATCTTAAAAAAAAAAAGGCAAAGACTATACAGCCAGCAAAAGGAGAGGGCAGGGTTCTCAGGCTCATCACCACGGTGTGTTTGGATCACACAGTGCCATGTTCCTGAAGAAGGTCTTTGTTCTTTTAGCTTCAGTTTCAAAAAATCTTTGTCTCATTCAACTCAGCTTAAGACATTTAAGCAAAGAAATTATTGTATGCTATTAATGCCATTTTTAAGCTAAAACGTCAATTCAGGAACACAAAACTAATGGCTTGTTTTCATGCTTTACCACGGTGTGTTTGGATCACACAGTGCCATGTTCCTGAAGAAGGTCTTTGTTCTTTTAGCTTCAGTTTCAAAAAATCTTTGTCTCATTCAACTCAGCTTAAGACATTTAAGCAAAGAAATTATTGTATGCTATTAATGCCATTTTTAAGCTAAAACGTCAATTCAGGAACACAAAACTAATGGCTTGTTTTCATGCTTTTGTTTCTTTGTTGTTTTGGGTTTTTTTTTTTTTTTTTTTGTTTACTTTCATTTG